CCAAATTTTTAAACGTCCCTCTTGACTCCCCCTTTTTCGGGGGGTGATCCCAAAAACCCACGGGACTAAAAAGATTTAAGGTCAAGTGCCAAAATTTAAAATTTTCCCAAAACCACAGAAAAAGAAAAAAAAGTCATCCTTCCCAAATATTTAGGCAACTGAAAATTTTTCATATCGTTATGGCTGGGTCATTTTTTGGCCATAAAAAAACCACAAAATTTGGGATTTTATTTGCCTTTTTGTTTTTAAGCAGCTTTCTTAAACGTTTATGAAACGTTAAATTTTTTTTAGCATGGTGCTGATACTAGTACACGTTTCGCAAGTTGTAGAGCAGTACTGGAAGGATTATAGCTTTTGTAAATTGTGTTAGCTTGGTCATGAGAATATTTAATGAAAAGTGAACATACTTGACCTCCCTTCTGGTTAGCAATCTCATGTGGCCTGATGTACTCCACCTTGCGTTGAGTGATGACACACATAGTCAATGTTGCTTCCAGAGCCCAGATCGTTAAAGATGCCGGCAGCAATAGCATCCCTGACCAGCTTCATAGCCTCTTCTCTCTGTAACAGATATCAGCAGATCATCAACATAAGGCAGAATATCAACAACAACAACAAAAAAGAAACTCCTGAGCAGACACTGATGCCTTCTTATTTCTTCTTATTCCTAGTGACTCTGGCAGACAATTCTGGTTGTTCATCAACTTTGGTCTTGATTCAGAACTTGAGCTTAGCTTGCACATCCGGTTTTTGTGTGTGCAGACTGTTGGTTCCTTGCCTCAGGCAGATTCCCCCTGACTTTGAAGGAAACACCCTTTATTAATTGTCACCATCTTCCTCAACAAATCAAAAATACCAGTAGTCTCTATCACATACAATCGAAATTGTTTGAATATTATCTGAGCTGTTATATGCCCTCATAGCAGATTTAAAAATTAAATAATTTTAGAAATAGCACTATTTTTTCCTAGAATTATTAGGACTACCACTGTTTACTGTAGTCGAAATGTACACATTCAAGTGCTTATACTGAATATTTTGATGCTGTCGAATTTTACTATTATTTGATGTGTGAATGAAATGATATCCAGAAGGAATGAGAGACTAAAAGGGCAGAATGTTAGATGGGCCTGTGTGCCCAATTCTTAACCCTTTGAAAAATAAAGCCTGTTCCTTTGTTCTCCCATGACCTGCTTTTAGGGAGGCAGGGTCCACTCTTTGTTCTCCAAAATGCAGGAATATTCTCATTTACAGATGTGGGATTTGTTTTATATGATACATAGGCTTTCAAATCATCAGGCATAAATATGTAATTCACTCTCTCATAACATATAGGAGCACTGTACGATCATACACAAATGTGGAATTTATTCCACTTTCAGTAGTTTACTTATTCAAATAACTGAGCAGCTGTGTATACAGAAAGCATCTTTGTAGTTCATACACTATAGGACAGGGGTCAGATACTAGTAGTACCTCTGGCAAGGTGACCGCCATGTCCTTCTTAGGGTGATTCACCACCATTGGGCTAGGTCTGGCACTCAGCTCTCTCCTGTGGCTCCCAGCAGCTGTCAGCATGCGACAGCGGCCACTTCCTGGTGATTGGGATATGACTACCCTGCATGCAAAGACTGGACTCGACGGATTTGGCAGAAGAAACCTCTTACTGGTTCAACGGACAAGAAGGTGTTTACCAGCAGGCTCTGTGGACAGCTTCGAGCAAGGCAGGGTACCTAAGATGCCTTGGTTATCCAATGTACCTAGGTCCATTTCTAATCGTCTTGACATTGTCCTATTGGATCAAGATGGACGCAGGCGAAAGAGTGAGGTCGACGAACTGCACAGCTCTTCCTCTCTTAAATCCAAGTCCTTGCGCAATTCCCTTTCATCCAGCTATCACTTTGGACGAAAGTGGTCTTCATCCCTGGTGACGGACGAACAATAACAACCACAGGGTACGATTTGTTTGACATGAAGATACTGTTAAATCTTAACGCATACAGTGAATGATACTATCCATTTCTATAGAAAGTATTTCTGGTAGGGGTGAAAAAAGGGGTATGTAAGGTAGTGGTTGCAGTAAGATGAGAGAGACAAACATGCAGCGCTGAATAACTGATCATAGAAACACTTACAGTCATATCTGGCTTGAACCCATCTTCAAAAACTGCCATGGCTGCCAAAGAACCGGAACCTGCATGAAAATGTACAGTAAAATGTAACTTAAATTCAATTTGATCTGGTCTGGGGCTTCCTGGCATATTGAAAATGAAAAGAATGCAGTTGACAGGTAGAAAACGAATGAGGCGTCACTTTGAGGAAACTAAACTGAATGGATGGCTCTTCTTTTTACTGCTCACCAGCTATAAACTCTGGTGGAAAGTTCTGGCTGTTTGCCCACTTCTGGACTTTAGTCTTGCAAAACTTGAATTTTGTGTTCACATCTGCTTTACAGATCTTATATGTATGCAGACTGTTGGTTTCTCAAAGGACAACCAGATGCATTCTGACTTGAAAAGAAATCCCTGTTTAGTCGGCTTTTTCTATACAATCGATAAAGAGGCAGTGGATCTATCCCACCAGTGCAGATAGGCGCTGGAACCGACACAGGCTGGCTCTGAGCCTTAGAGTACAGTGAGTTTTGTTTCACAATTCTTGAAACGCCCACCGCATTTTACAAAGAGACCATTCTCATGGCTATTGGACTGCAATATGATAACTATTTTCTTGTTCTTCATTGTTCGTCCCAGTTATGTAATTGTGTTGTGCCAATTTACAGCACAGCTGCGAAATGTGTGTCTTTTCGCCGGATTCATCAGGCATTTGCTCACCAGGTTAGCCTTCCCCGTTTGGTTTCAAGGGACACGACACAGCCTTATATGGGTGGTATCCTCTTTGTCCCATCATCTCCAGGTGTTGCCTCTAGAGAACCAATCCAGGATTGATTCCCCTCATCTCCCACCGAAGCACACACCCTCAATTAACTCAAGTCAGGCCCTTTGCTGACTTTTTCATGACTTGTTGAATTCTGCAGCAACAATTTTTCCAGGATGAGATAAAAAGTCTCCGGCCAACCATACTTTGTTGCATGTATGATATGCCAAGTAGGTCAGTGTTACTTTTTTATGCTTCCTCTATGGGACCCAGTAATAAAGGGAGACACAATTTTTTATTACTGTTCTTTCACTTTTTTTCAATCATTTTTCAGCATCTATGATTATTTTGTCAACAACAAAATTCATTATTTAAATTATCATTAATTACTAGCGTCACAGGGGCTAATATATAGACTGAAGTTGAGGCATACAGAGAGGATGGCAGAATACAAAGAGGTAAAAACTGTGTACACAAAAGTGCTGAATGGGAGCAGACAAGTGGTTCTCAACCTATGGGTCACGGCCCTTTTTTGGGTTCACCGAAGACCATAAGAAAACACATATTCTCTGAAGTTATGAAGTAACAACAAAAATAATTTTATGGTGGTTGGTTGCCACAACATGAGGAGCTGTATTAGAAGGTCACAGCATTAGGAAGGTTGAGAACCGCTGAAGTAGACGGTGGAGAGAGACAATAAAGGCAGCCTTTAATTGCTTGGGTCATCAAATGGAAAAGATGACCAATCAAAGAGATGAATGGAGGTGGGTAAAAACGGCAGTAATGAATCTCAAGGGTTCAGAATGCTGCAGAAGCATTAAAAACTACAGCTGAACACACACACACACACAAACAGACAGGGAAAAGTTCACAGCGACAGAAAGTGACAGGTCATTCACAGCAGAGTGAAATACCCTCACAATACTCCCCACTCACCCATTGTCACATAGGGTAGTTTATCTGTGGAGCCATGAGGCCAGATACTGTACAGACTAGGTCCAGTTGTATCCACACCTCCCAGGACCAGGGCAGCGCCTATGTAGCCTTGGTATCTGCAACAAAATCCATCTTTAATCAACTCACCTAACATTAGTCCTGCCAACTGGTTATGGATACTTAG